GCTCAAACGGCAATTCCAATCAAGTGGCAATTGTTGCTCCAAGTGACATGTTGAGAGGTTCTGAGGCTGTGTCTAGGCTCAGGAGGAAACATGGTACTCAATACATAATGTCGGTCTTGGAGGTGGTAGGTGATGGTAAGTGGTAGTGCCATGTTTTGGTTTCTGGCTCAGTGGGAAAACAAAACAGCATACACTCCTGCAAAGTAGGGCAGGAATTCTATGGATTATAAATATTATGTTCTGGAGAATTCAGTTCCAGGAAGTTCAAGTGGGACTGCTTTAAGAAAAGGGAAAAAAACCAGTTAGACATAAGGACATTGAGGCCGGGCGCGGTGGCTCAAGCCTGTAATCCCAGCACTTTGGGAGGCCGAGGCGGGTGGATCACGAGGTCAAGAGATCGAGACCATCCTGGTCAACATGGTGAAACCCCGTCTCTACTAAAAATACAAAAACATTAGCTGGGCATGGTGGCGCGTGCCTGTAATCCCAGCTACTCAGGAGGCTGAGGCAGGAGAATTGCCTGAACCCAGGAGGCGGAGGTTGCGGTGAGCCGAAATCGCGCCATTGCACTCCAGCCTGGGTAACAAGAGTGAAACTCCGTCTCAAAAAATAAAAAAATAAATAAAAAAATAAGGACATTGAAGAAAAAAAGAGTACATCATCTGATCAAAAGGATGATTTATTCTTAAAGGATGCCAATACGACACAGTGGCAGAGGGCATTTAAAATGGAATCTGGGTGTTGGCTCACACTTGTAATTCCAGCACATTGGGAGGCCAGAGCAGGAGGATTGCTAGAACCCAGAGTTCGAGACCAGCCTGGGCAACATAGGGAAACTCCCATCTCTACAGAAAAAAAACAAACCAAAAAACTGGGCATGGTGGCACACATCTGTGCTCCCAGCTACTCAGGAGGCTGAGGTGAGCCATGATCATCCCACTGCATTCCAACCTGGTGACAGAGTGAGATCCTGCCTCAAAAAAAAGTCTGGGTTGGCGCCAGGAAAACCCCAAACCAGCACATCTATTACTTAGACAAGGAGAGGGGAATAATTTAGCATGACAAAGCTCTACGGTAGATGTCCAGTACTTACTAAATCCTACTCAAAATCTCTTTAATTCTAAAAGGATTGATTTGTTGACGCCCACATTTTAAAGTACAGTATCTTAACTTGAACTAGCTAGATGAAGATGCTAGCTTACAATAGAACTAGCATCTTCATCTTTCTAAGCAGGCGTCCCCCACCATCTTGCAAACAAGTCTAAACTTAAGTGGCGGTAAGGTCCATTATAATTTCAAAGTAGATGCAGGCTTCTCTGTCCCTCTGCAAAGCAATTTTAAGAGGAATTGTTACCCAGAGGACATGATCTAGAAATAGATGGAAATCAAAACCAAATGCTCATCTGCAACCTAAATTGTCATCATCTTGCAGTCGTCAGTCAGAAACAGATGTTAACTGTACATGCACATTCATCCCAAGATGCTTAAACTTTCCATCAATGAAGCAGCTTGAAGCCATAGGCTTATGAAGTTCCTGGAAGCACTGTTGTAACACACTTGTCAGGACTGAAGAATAGCCCATAACTTCCCTGAGCTCTTGATTCAACACTCTTCAGATGACTGTGGAGTTGTTCTCCAAGAAACATACATCAATTCAAGATTTTCCCGGTTATCACAAGGTGGGCAGCAAAGGACTAGTATTTCCCTTTTTAACCTCCACTAAAGATATCATTGTTCTCTGAAACCTCTAGTCAATTCTACTCATCAAAGTGTGTTCAATATGGACTTTATTCAACTCTTGACTATACAATGAATGACTGATATTCAGCCGCTACCTGCTACCCTAACATACTCATAAGAGTTAATCCAGATAAGGTGTATGACAATGGCGTAACAGATAATCAAGAAGAGAATTCAAAAAAACTGATCAAAATTATGAGATATCGGTGTAGGTTTTCTAGGAAGACCATCACCGAAAGATGTAACGTAGAAGCTGACCCTCATGTTTCTCTGTTGCCACCAAAGGTGGGCAGGAATTGTATAAAAGTGTCAGTGTTTTATGTTGGACAGAAAGCAGAAAGAAGACATCGAGTTGTAGCATCTCTGTTCCAAGGAATAATGAATGAGAGATTTACAGTACGGTGTGATCTGAAGTCAGAGGATGGAACATATGGCCTTTCAAGGTATTTTTCCAGTCGTTGGTCCTCTAAGTGACCAAGCCTCCTTCTTAAAGCTCGTTAGTCTTGTTCTAGGATGGCATCACAGTTGGCGTATATACAGTAGTCCTCCCTTATCTGTGGGGGATATGTTCCAAGACCCCCAGTGGGTGCCTAAAAACTCTGATAGTACCAAACTCTATATATACTGCTTTTTTTTCTATACCTACATATCTGTGATAAAATTTAATTTGTAAATTAGGTGCAGCACTCTTCCCCTTTGGGGCTATTCGTAATTAAATAAGGGTACTGAACCTAAGCACTGTGATACCGAGACAGTCGATCTGAAAACGGAGACTGCTGCCGAGTGACTAATGGATGGGCAGCATGAACGTGAGGATCACATCCAGGGGAGGAAGGGGCAAGATCTCATCAGCTCCTCAGACTGGCGTGCAATTTAAAACTTAGGAATTATTTCTGGAATTTTCCATCAAATATTTTTGGACTGCAGTAGAGCATAACTGAAACCATGAAAGGTGAGGCTGTGGACAAGAGGGGACTACTGTATACCATTTCATTTTTTAGTCTCCCTGCTCCTCCCAACTAGGAGGATAAAGGGGCCTGGCAGGAAGGAGACTGCTAACTACGTTGTCAGTTCTTGAAACGAATCCATCAGCCCTCTACTTCTGTTCCTCTCAGGGCATTAAATAATTCTCTTTTAATTTCTAATATAGTCCCATGATTTTATTTCCTAAGAAACTTGAGAAAGTTTACAGCTTTTGAACTATATGTCCATCCACTATTTGACATCCTGGGGGCCACCGGCCCACGCAGGAGCTTGCATGATTAAGTCAACATCACAATGTATCCATTGGGCTTCAGGGCAGAACATGCATCCTCAGATGATTGTTGTACACAGAAAATTAGGGAACACAGCTAAGATCAATACCAGGGAGCTCCCAAATGGCAGTTCCATTTTCATTCCTTCATTAAAATAATAAAATCCGTAATCATTCCTGGTTAGCAATAGACACAATCATTGTGCTACATCATAAATCACACCTTCTGATCGACAGAAAATGAGAATGAGGATATTATAAAATAAAATAACAAGGATAATAATGCCATAACTTAAGGTCGTTCGTGTAGTCCAGCTACAGAATTTTTACAAAATGGAATAATTTAATGCAAACAATACTGTCCTCTGTATAAATTAAACATTTTCCTTCATCCTACCTAAGAGCTATAAATTATAGATAATACATTTTAAATCAATGTATCAATATAAAGTGTAAACAAATGGAGGGCTCAAACAAGCAAAAGGAACTCTAAATTCCCTCCTGCCTTTCATTTTTGGCTGATACAGTCAGTGAAACCCAGAGGAGGGGCATCATTTTCATGTGCATTGGAAATGGTTTAACAGCTGTCTGTGCAAGTATTTCCTAAGATTCAACATGATGCAACGTCGAAGAGTCTAGCGAATCTAGAGAGGCTGTTTGACAGTAATCTATCTTGGAGACAGGGACAGGTACTAGGTCAACATCTATTTGTACATAAAATTCTAAATCAAAATTTCCTTAAGGCCAAGGCACCATGAAGCACCTTGGAATGCTTTTCAGAGCCCACTGCCCCGGAGACAGGCAGGACCTCATGCTTTTGGTGATGTAAAAATCTTTCCTATCCTTGCTCAGCATCGCTTGTTCTTTCCACAAATGTTCAAATCCAGTTATTTATTGAACAAAAATGCTATTGTGCTGGGCGAGGAGTTGCCTTTTGCAAGTTGCTTGTTTTTGCCTTTATTCTGACAGTGGTAGCCAGTCATTAAGACTTCTAAGATAGGCCAGGCGCTGTGGCCGGGCGCTGTAATCCCAGCACTTTGGGAGGCCAAGGCAGGTGGATCACCTGAGGTCAGGAGTTTGAGACAAGCCTGGCCAACACGGTGAAATTCCATCTCTACTAAAAATTCAAAAATTAGCCAGGCGTGGTGGCAGGCGCCTGTAGTCCCAGCAACTCGGGAGGCTAGGCAGGAGACTTGCTTGAACCCGGGAGGTGGAGGCTGCAGTGAGCTGAGATCGTGCCATTGCACTCTAGCCTGGGCAAAAAGAGCGAAAATCCGTCTCAAAACAACAGCAGCAGCAGCAACAACAAAAACAAACCAACAAAAACTTCTAAGATAGAATGAGTTAGTGAATAAAAACAAAGGGGTGGTTTGGGCTTGGACACTGGGTAGACACACACACATCCCAGCTACCTTCAAAGTCTGTTCTCCTGCTTGAATCAATATGACTCAAGTGGACAAGCAACCTGGTTCCAGAGAGGGGCGATTCCATCTTCTCCATGTAGCTGAACTGAGTCGTCCTGAGAATGGGGTTTCCTAACACTGTTGGAGATGTTCTTCCTCTCTTACCCTTTTCTCCTCCTCACTACGGCCCCCCAACCTCTGTTCCGCAGGAAGTGGTCAGCAGGCAGCAAGGAGGTAAGCTACAAGGCAATGGCACCTGAGGATGAAGGATCAACACATTGGGTCAAGGTAGCACATTTTCCAAGGCAGTGACAGTGACAGCACTAAATAGGGATGTATTTGCCAAAAACAAGATTTGACACTATCTGTAAACCTCACTACCAACTGCTGCTTAAACATCTAAAAATGAAACCAGCTTCCACAGATACAGGTCTGTTTGTTCTTCCCTTCCAGGAGAAGCACACGCCCTTGAAGACCTTGGGTGCGAGTATCTGGTCACCAGACTTTTCTAGGTCATTTCCATAACCCACCTGGACAAGCTGGTTGCGGTGAATATGGTCTGTTCCCAAGCTGCCTGGAATTGCTTTTCTTTTGCTGCTCTGTGTTCTAAAATGTTCAATGTCTTGCTCTGGCTCTTCTTTAGTCATTTACAGCCAAAAGACCTGGTCCCCTGTTCAAGCAGCAGTAACACCTCCCGGCCCCACAAATTCCCAAGGATGTTGCTCCTAAATTCCACTTATTTCTTTTTTTCCTGTTCTTTTCTTTTTCTTTCTTTTATCTCTTTTTTTTCTGCAAGAAATTATTGTATCTCTCTCTATCTCATATATAGTTCACTCTTTACAGTACAAAGTGTTAAAATGTCAAACAAAAATAAATATCAATGTTACAGTAGCTAGAATATTCAATAAAATAGATCCCTGCCATTCTTGATTGAAATGTTCAGTGAGACTCAATTTCATTTGGATATTATTTTCCAGAGATTTGCCAAGTCTCATGTTCCTGTTATTGCAGCTCATTTCTAGGGGTGGTGAAGGTGGGGCAGTCTCTGTTCCCAGACAAAATGCTGGGAGAGAGTGGGACAAGTCTGAGGGTGGGGTGGATCTGAAATGCCAGTATAGTCACAAGATCTTCAGGATGCGTGTTCCTTCATTACCAGGTAGCAGAGCTGTAGTGTTTATTGGTCCTAACTGTGGCATCAGAACACTCCCCATCTGAAGAGTCACAGTCCAATTCTTCAAACTGCAAAGGATTCTGCAGAGGTAAGACAAAATAAAACCTTAATTCATTTCTAGAATCACCCTGTAAATAGATATCAAACACCTCCCACAGCAGGCACTGCGCTTGGTAAGGGGGCTATAGAGATAAATGAGACCAGGTCCTGTCCTTGTGGGGCTTATGGAGAAAGAAGACGCATGAAGATGATGGTGATGATGGCTATGACAGTAACAGCAGGGCCCACCACACCACCACTTATACAGTGCTTACTGCGCCCCAGGCACCGTCGTAAGTACTGTGTTAACACATCCGTCAATCCATTTAGTCCTCATGATAACCCTATGAGACAGACGCTGTTATTATCCCCATTTTACAGAGAGGTTAAGTGGCTTGCCCAGCGTCCCACAGTAAGTGGAATGCTATGATTTGCATTCAGGCAGTTGGATTCCAGGGTACACACCTACAGCCACTATGCTAGCCTGCCTCTGCAAAGGCAGTACTGAATGTGAAAGTGCTATCTGTGCTATAATGGTACCATCCAGGGAAGAGTCAGGATCTGGAGAGGGAAGGTTCAGACCTTAAAAAAAAAATTTTTTTTTTCAGAGGCAGGGTCTCACTGTTGCCCAGGCTAGGGTGCAGTGGTTTGATCATAGCTCACTGCAGCCTGAAACTCCTGGGCTCAAGAGATCTTCCTGCCTCAGCCTCCCCAGTAGCTAGGACTGCAGGGATGTATCATTGCACTCAGCTAATAAAAATTTTTTTGTAGAAGTGAGGTCTTGCTATGTTGCCCAGACTGATCTTAAATTCCTGACCCTAGAGTGATCTTCCTGCCCCAGCCTCCCCAAGTGCCGGGATTACAGGCGTAATCTACCACACCTGACCTAACCTCAGACCTTTAACTATGTTGGGAGTTGGGAGGGGGAAGAGGTGATTTTTGAGTTAAATCTTGACATGAAGGTTTCCTGGGCAGTTCAATGTGTGTGTGTCATTTGAGAGAAACTGCCCTCCTTTCTGGGAGCTCTGTTGATCTCTGTACTTCTACTTACTTTTTGGAGGCTTGATATGGCTTGGCTCTGTGACCCTACCCAACTCTCATGTTGAATTATAATTCCCAGTGTTGAGGAAGGCACCTGGTGGGAGGTCACTGGATCATGGGGGCAGATTTTCCCCTTGCTATTCTCATGATAGCGAGTGAGCTCTCATGAGATCTGACGGTTTCAAGGTGGGAGGCACTTCCCCCTTCGCTTTCTCTCTCTCCTGCTGCCATGTGAAGACATGCTTGCTTCACATCTAACCATGACTTCACCTTTTACCATGACTGTGCTTCCTGAGGCCTCCCAGCCATGCTTCCTGTACGGCCTGTGGAACTGTGAGTCAAGTAAACCTCTTTTCTTCATGAATTACCCAGTCTCAGCTAGTTCCTTACAGCATTGTGGGAACAGACTAACACAAGGTCGTTGTATCTTATTACTAAATGAAAATTGTAAAGGCTCTGGAGACTTGAACCCCAAAGAGCAAAAAAGGAAATAGTGATGGAGGAGAAGGGAGAAGCCCCACCTCATAGCCACGTTCCTCCACACACAGCTTGCCCAGAGACATCTGAGTCTTCACACGGCGCACGGCACACTCCTTGTCCGAGAGCCCATCTGAGTGTGAGGATATGTCAATGGGAATCTCCGGCGTCTGGGACAGCAGGTCGTCTAGCTTCTCCGCCAAGCGGTCTTCAAGTTTATCAGCTAACTCATCAGGACTGTTTGAGTGGTCACTGGTATTTCCCTCCTCTCCATCAGACACAGAGAAATTCTCAGAGCTAAAGGTTGAATATGACTGGCAGCTGCTGATACAGCGATGGGGCCTAGAACCAGAAGAACCAGGAGAACTTAATCACAGGAATGACTACTTTCCTTTCCTTATCTGCCACTTGTAGTTTTGGTAGAGATCATCTAGGTTTTTTTCCTGCCGTTGAAGAGGCCTAAAAAGATAGGTAGAAACTATTGAACTTTTAACGCTAAAACAATGGACTGAATTTTTATCTCCCATGAAATTCCATGTTGAAGCCCTAATACCCAGTGCAACTGTATGTGGAGATAGGGCTTTTAGGAGGTAAACAAAGTTAAATGAAGTCATAAGGGTGGGGTCCTAATCAGATAGGATTGGTGGGATTATAAGAAGAGGAAGTGATTATCTCCATTCCTCACTCTTTCAGCGTGCATATGCGGAGCAAAGACCATGTGAGGAAGCAGAAGGTGGCTGTCTGCAAGCCAGGAAGAGAGCCGTCGCCAGAAACGGAATCTGCAGACACCTTGATCATGGACTTCCCCAGCTCCAGAACATGAGAAATAAATTCTTGTTGTTTAAGCCATCCAATTTGGAGTGTTCTGTTATGGCAACCTGAGGTGACTAACACAAGAAGGAAATTTTAATTTCCCCTTTAATTTGGTTTATATATTTATGTGACTGAACACTATGCTCCAAGCTGATGGCTATGAATGGTCTGAAAACAATCAGCTTGTCTAATCACATTATGTACAGGTATGCATAGTATGGAAATGTCCAAATTGAAATTATGCCCCTTATTTAGAGAGTTGTAGATTCTCGCAGGTGAAAAAGACTTTGCAGAGTCTCTGGACTAACCCATTTCCCACATGAGAAAACTGGAGCCAGAGAAGGGCAGTGACCTGTTTAAGGCCACTTCATCAGAAAAGGCAGAGCTGAGGCTTGGGCTGGGTCTACACACACTTTGATCAGTGTCCTTCTCTAACTCCCATCCCTCACTTCCCTGTCAATCCACCCCAGCTTCATTTCCCAGAGCCCAGTGTCCATTGGGCATGGTGGCCCTGGAGGCCCAAGTGCCTTCACTACCCCCGTTGACCAACCTCCAACAGAAATGAGCTTGGAAGGAACATTCACTCTGCAGCTGTGGGTACTGCCCAGGCAGTTAGGACCTCATGCCAGTTAACATCTAGGTTTAGCTCTGATAAGCCAAAGCTTCTGGGGAGATAATTTACAAAAGTTCCTCAGTTCCTTCCCATTGTTTACAAGTGGCTTAGTAAATAAGAATATTAGCTTACAATGGTTTAAAAAAATATATAACAAAACAAATAAAGACTGTCTTTTTCTTTTGCCAGTGTCTGATCTTTCTGTATTTCTTAGTACAAAGACCTTTTTTTTTTTTTTTTTTTTTTTTGTGTGTGTGTGTGTGACAGAGTCTCACTTTTATTGCCCAGGCTGGAGTGCAGTGGCACTATTCGGCTCACTGCAACCTCTGCCTCCCTGGCTCAAGCAATTCTCCTGCCTCAGCTTTCCAAGTAGCTGGGATTACAGGCACATGCTACCATGTCCAGCTAATTTTTGTATTTTTAGTAGACAGGATTTTGCCATGTTGGCCAGGCTGGTCTTGAACTCCTGACCTCAGGTGATCCACCTGCCTCAGCCTCCCAAAGTGCTGGGATTACAGGCATGAGCCACAGGTCCCAGCCTAGTACAAAGAGATTTTATGCCATATGGCCTAGGCCAGGCTGATGCCCAGGCCAGGTGATGGGGTGAGAGTTGGTGGGGGGGGGTCAGTGGGGCACATCAGAGATATATAAGAAGAGGCCACCAAGAGCCCAGGAATAGCAGAGAATGAGAACAGATTTCAATTTTGTGCATAATGTGGGGATCCAGAATATAATTTGTCAAAGGGCCAGGAATCCTTTGGTTTGTAGGGAATTCCTGTTTTGGGGCAGATACACAAACCTTCCTGGGGAGACTCTTGGAGCATTACTTTTCAAGAACAGAACGTCTATTGGCAGAAAAGACCTCCTGCAGGGAAACTATCTTCTCCTCTACATTAGGGGCAGCTTTTATTCTAGAAGTGAGGGGAAATGGCCCTTATTTACTCCTACCAGGAATATTATTATCGTTATCTAAGCAAGCAGCTATTTCTAAGGCTGGGTTGAAGGTGGACTCAACTTATCTAATCACGTTTAACTTGAGGTATAAAATCTAAGGCATAGGGAATGCTATGGACTGAATTGTCTTCCTCCCAAATCCATCAGTTGAAGCTCTAACCTCCAATCTAACTGTATCTAGATAGACCCTCTAGATAGAGTCTTTAGGAGGTAATTAATGTTAAACGAGGTCATAAGAGTGGGGGCCTAATCCAATAAGACTGTGACCTTTCAAAAGGAGGAAGATCTCTCTCTGCCATGTGGGGAAACGGCAAGAAGGTGGCTGTCTGCAAGCCAGGATGAGAGCCTTCATCGGGGACTAAGTAAGCTAGAACCCTGATCTTGAACTTCCCCAGCTCCAGAATTGTGAGAAATAAATTTCTGTTGTTTAAGCATCCAGTTTGTGTTACAGAAGCCCGAGCAGACTAACACAGGAGGCACACCAGAAACCAATACAATTACCCGTAAAACAGCATGGCCATCTGTCACAAATGGCCCACTGTATTCTCAGTTGTAACCTCGAATCTATGAGCTCCTCATCATGAGGTTGCTGTAAAATAAATGCTGATGAACTAGGATCTGCTGTGCACGGACAACTGCCAAAAGGTGGCAACAGGGAAACATGAACACAGGGAGTTCAAAGTTCCCCGTACGGTGGCTGTCAGGGAATGACCTGTGGTTGAAGAGCAGGTGTGGCAAACTTAGGGTTTTTCCCCACTCCACTAAAAGCCATTGTGTGCATTTGTTGGTTTTACCTCTGTCTTCGTGGAAATTCAACTTCACTGTCCACTTCCCCTTCTTCCTCTTCTGAGGAGTCATCTCCACTCTGAGGAGAACAAGAAAAAAAAGAGTTTTATTTATTTTAGTGTCTCTCTCTCTCACCCCATCCCCACTACCTGTAAAAAATGTAATTATCGTCAAAAGGCATTTAGTAGTAGCTTGCTGAATGTCATCTTTAAACATGTATGTCCTCATTTAGCAACTTTCCCAGGGTACCCACAACGGCGGGCCTGTGTTTGATGCTGAAAGACGCGTAGAAGGGACTAAAACTTTATCTGTGTCCTCAGGGAGGTGATGGCTCCATTAAAGTGTCCAGAGGTGAGTGATGGGGAGGGAAGTTGGAGAGGAGGTCTTGGATTTGGGAGCAGTCTCTTGTAACCATTGTCACGGGTGGTTCCAGGCTCTGTCATAGAAGTGATCTTTCAAATCTTCAAAGCCCAACAATTGCTTTTCCCCTTTTCATATACCAATCACTTTTTAACTAATATTACGTAGTTAGAGATAGACATTTTTGAGGGTCAGACTATATCCTGTTTGTACTGTATGCCTCGCTCCATTAATACAATACTGCATACAAAATTGGTGTTATCCCTGTAAATATATATAATTATTGTTTGCCAATTAAAAGAAAGTACTTAATGCATTTTTATTGAGCCAGCATGTTGGCAGCAATGAGGGTGCTCTGGCTGGGACATCTGGGGCCCTGTGATTGCTCGGGCTCTGTGGTTGATCTGGAAGGTGGGTTAAGTGTCCTGCCTAGGTGATCCTTCAGATAACTCATCTCAAACCAAGGGCAGAAGAGCAGCCACACTTAAGATCAACTGTCCTTAGCCACAGCATAATGATATGCTGGATTACCTAGTCACTTGTGAGGTGGGTAATTGGGTCCAAGGAGTCATACCAGATACTGAGAATAATTTTCCTTTTTAAAAGTCAGTTCTAAAATATCAAGACTCTTACTGCTTTGTATTCTGATATACTTTTTTTAAATGGGAAAGACAGAGAGGAAGTTGTCCTGACTGCTGAGATGAGTAGTTTCCCCTGGGAGTACCTGCGGCAGTAGGCTTTGGTAAAGAGAGGTTGAGCTGCTCTGTGGGAGTGAGGTTCTAACGAGGCCAGAAGTACAAGGCATGTGTTCTGTAGGCTAAAGACCCATAGATGGTCTCAAAATGGCATGAGAAAGGTTCAAAGATACATGTTATTTGAAGGAGCCTGGGGGATGAGGTGACTGCTAAAGGGTGTGGGGTTTTTGGGGTGATAAAAGTGTTGTAAAATTGGTCATGGTGATAATTACACAACTCCATGGAAAAAAGCATTGAACTCTACACTTTAAAAGGAAGGACTGTATGGTATGCAAATTATATCTTAATAAGGAAGTTACCAAAAAATACAAGTTACTGGCCATTGGAGTTGAAGGAGCAGAGAATGGATTGGCCCAAATCAACTGCACCAGCTGAAACACAATTATTATTTATTTATTTATTAGTTTTTGAGACAGAGTGTTGCTCTGTTGCCCAGGCTGGAGTGCAGTGGTGTGTTCTCCACTGCAAACTCCGCCTCCTGGGTTCAAGTGATTCTCCTGCCTCAGCCTCCTGAGTAGCTGGAATTATAGGCACACCCCACCATGCCCAGCTATTTTGTATTTTTAGTAGAGACAGGGTTTTACCCTGTTGGCAGGCTGGTCTCGAACTCCTGACCTCAGGTGATCTGCCCACCTTGGCGTCCCCAAATGCTGGGATTACAGGCGTGAGCCACCGTGCCCAGCCCCCGAAACACAATTTAATCTCTGGGAATGCTTAGTCAGCACAGGAGCAGCAGTGTAGGCGGAGGGGATGCAGTTCCCAGACAACAGCCCTCAGCTTCCGCTTCTTTTCTGCTCAATGCCTAGTTGACCAAACATGCTCACTACACTTTATACCCTTTCATTCCTTCAGCTAAATTTCTGATGAACAATGATGATGAGATGAAACCAAAATTAGAACTGGGTGGGTATCTACCATGTTGTAAACACTTTTCATACATAATCTTATTTTTTGACCCATAGCAAGAAGAGCTAATACTTTTGGAAAGGTGCTATGTTCCAGGCCCTGTTCTAAACGCTTTATATGTATGAATGCATGTCATCTTCATATAAAACAATGAGGCAGAGTCCAGTATTAGACCCATTTTATAGACAAGGAAACTGAGGTCCATAGAGGCACTAAGTGGAAGAGCCTGGCTTTAAAGCGAGATCTGTCTGGCTCCTAGGCCCATGCTGTGAACTGCTCTGGTAGTCTGCTTCCCAGCTGACAAATCCGAGGCAGCCAGTGGATAAGGAGAAGAGAAACAGATTTCAATGACTAAGAACTATTTGGGTCACGACACTTGTCAATTAAGGCAATGTGGGGCCAGGCCCAGTGGCCTGTGTAATCCCAGCACTTTGGGAGGCCGAGGCTGGTGGATCACAAGGTCAGGAGTTCAAGACCAACCTGGCCCATATAGTAAAACCCTATCTCTACTTAAAGTACAAAAATTAGCCGGGTGCAGTGGCGGGTGCCCGTAGTACCAGCTACTCGGGAGTCTGAGGCAGGAGAATCACTTGAAAATGGGAGGCAGAGGTTGCAGTGAGCCAAGATGGCACCACTGCACTCTAGCCTGGGTGACAGAGCAAGACTCCGTTTCAAAAAAAAAAAAAAAAAATTAAGACAATGTTTTCCAAAGTAAATTGTGAAGAAAGGTAGTGCCAGGGGGGATTAATAGGTGCTAATTTTAAAAGGCTGTATGTTCAAATAGGGGAGGGAAATGCTCGGTTAAACAGGTTGACTGCATGATTTCTCAAAGCGGAGGATTTGTTCATGTGCACTAGGGATCTCCAGGAGGAATAACAGAATACTGTGCTTCTTCAACTGAAACTCACTCTACAACATCCCTCAGGACTAGACTGCTAGGACAGTGGTTTCCAAACTATTTGGATTACATATCCCTACTATATAGTTATCTCTCTTTTTTTGAGATGGAGTCTCGCTCTGCCGCCCAGGCTGGAGAGCAGCGGTGCGATCTCGGCTCACTACAACCTCCACCCAGGTTCAAGCGATTCTCATGCCTCAGCCTGCCAAGTAGCTGGGATTGCAGGTGCCTGCTAACACACCTGGCTAATTTTTGTATTTTTTTAAAATAGAGGTGGAATTTTACCATGTTGGCCAGGCTGGTCTTTAATTCCTGACCTCAAGAGATCCACCTGCCTCAGTCCCTCAAAGTGCTGGGATTATAGGCTTGAGCCACCACACCCATCCCATATCCCCAATATAGAGTCATCTACTTGTAAATTATTATGCGTACATTTGATTCAGTCCTCTGGTTCAGTAGTTCCTAAAGTGTATTCTGTAGCTTATCACTTACGTAGTGTGGAAAGAATGAATTTAAAGTAAAGTAAGTTTCTATTTATGTTTCTTTTATCTTACCCTTTTATAAAGTGTATGGTTTTTACACATGCTTTCTAACGTGTATAGCACGACAGGCTCTGACGTTCTTCGAAGGCAGTGATGCAGGCTACTCTTGCCGTTACACTTTACCTTTTGCAGAGGCCTTGTTTTTCGAGGTAGCACTGGAGGGGTGATGAGCTGTGTGGTGCCGAGGGATGACTCAGACCTACAGCTGCTGAATCCTTTTTCTTCCATTTTCTCAGAACTCTGGGCATTTTCCAAGAGAGGATTGTGTGCTGGTGACTTGGAAAGGTCAGGGCTCCTTCCCGCTGGCTCAGCAGAGGGTACGTGTAAGGATCCATACTGTTCTGGTCTGCACTGAAGGCAGGGGTCATAAGGGTCAGCCTGGCAACAGCCCCAGGGACCAGTCTGGCCCTTGTCGGGCCCCGAACTTCTCCAACAATCTGCAGCCATGGCTGTGGAGATGAGGTCAGGGCTCGAGCCAGGCAGCTGTCTCTGGGCATGGTTGCTGAGTGGGCTCCGCAGGGCTGCTGCTGGGCCAAAATACCTCAGGTTGTTGGCGCAGGCTGCAATGTCCTGTCCATGAATATTGAGTCTGGGATGGTGACTCTGGGACATGGCAGGAGGGGACTGCTGGTATTGCTGCTGCAGTGCATTATGATGATGGAGAGAAGGGTACTGGGATTGAGCTTGGTGTAGGTAAGAGGGATGGGGTGAATTTTCCTGGGCTGGCTGGTTTTTCAAGATTGAGGCAAAGTCACTATGGCTGCCTCTGCTATTCCCTCGGCGGTGGCGTGGTTTGCTGCGATATCGGCTCTTGCTGCTAGAGGTGGACATTTTGGGACTTCCGGACAAAGGGGATGCTGTGGGAGCCACTTCTGTAGTGGGGATCCCTTCTGATCTCAACAAGTCTGGTCTGGGAGAAAAGAACAGGTTTAGTTTTAAACATATGAAAACACATTTGAGTTTGGGGAAGTGTATCCTAAAATGTAAAATACACAGACTCTTTGAATCAGCAGTCACCAGGATTTATTCAATGGAGATAACATATGAGGGGTCTTCGAAATGTTCATGGAAAACATATATTATGAAAAAAATATGCATGGATCTCAAAATTTTTTGCACTGAAACAAACTCATACCAACTTGTTGGTAACGTGTAAACACGATCTAGTTTGAGGCACTAAGAAAGATTGCTTGGAAAAGAGCCTCATCAGAGCAACATGAATTCTGCTACAGTTGAGGAACAAATATTAAATTTGTGGTAAAGCTTAAGTGGAAGAATGGTGAAAACACTGATGCTTTATGAAAAGTTTATGGGGACAATGTCCCAAATAAATCAGCAGTTTACAAATGGATAACTTCTTTAAGAAGAAATGGGCCAGGCACAATGGCTCATTCCTGTAATCTCAGCACTTTGGGAGGCCGAGGCGGGTGGATCACGAGGTCAAGAGATCAAGACCATCTTGGCCAACGTGGCGAAACCCTGTCTCTACGGAAAATACAAACATTAGCTGGGCATGGTGGCTTGTGTGTGTAGTCCCAGCTACTTGGGAGGCTGAGGGAAGAGAATTGCTTGAACCCAGGAGGCAGAGGTTGCAATGAGATGAGATTGTGCCACTGCACTCCAGCCTGGTGACAGAGCAAGACTCTGTCTCACCAAAAAAAAAAAAAAAAAAAAAGTTCGGGGGGAGGGATGAGATGATGTTGAAGATGAAGCCCACAGGAGCAGCTCAACCACATCAATTTGTGAGAAAAAAATTCATCTTATGCATGCGCTAATTGACGAGAACTGAAGATTAACAGCAGAAACAATAGGCAACACAACAGACATCTCATCTAGCTCAGCTTACACAATTCTGATTGAAACTTTCCACTCAATGGGAACCAAACCTGTTGCATTCAGATCAGCTGTGTACACGAGCAGAACTTGTACACAATAGAAATTTTAAACACTTGGGATCAAGATCTTCAAACATTTCTCTGAATAAGAGAAATTGTAATAGGAGATGAAACACAGCTCTACCAGTATGATCCTGAAGACAAAGCACAATTAAAGCAATTGCTACCAAGAGGTGAAACTGGTCCAGTCAAAGCAGACTGATCAAGAGTAAAGGTTGGCTGGGAACGGTGGCTCACACCTATAATCCCAGCGCTTTGGGAGGCCAAGGTGGGTGGATCACCTGAAGTCAGGAGTTTGAGACTAGCCTGGCCAACATGGTGAAACCTCCTCTTTCCAAAAAATACAAAAATTAGCCAGGCATGGTGGTGGACACCTGTAATCCCGGCTACTTGGGAGGCTGAGGCAGGAGGATCGCTTGAACCCAGGTGGCAGAGGTTGCAGTGAGCTGAGATTGGGCCACTGCACTCCAGCCTAGGTGACAAGAGTGAAACTCCATCTCAAAAAAAAAAAAAAAAAAAAAAGTAAAGGTCGGCCAGATACAGGCTCATGCCTGTACTCCCAGTCCTTTGGGGGCCAAGACAGAAGACAGGAGGACTGCTTGAGGCCAGGAGTTTGAGACCAGTCTGGGCAACATAGCAAGACCCTGTCTCTACAAATAAAAAAAAAAAGCAAAGGTCATGGCAGCAGTTTTTTGGGGATGCTCAAAGCATTTTGCTTGTTGACTTTCTGGAGGGCCAAAAATGACAATATCTGCTTATTATGGGAGTGTTTTAGAAACTTAGCCAAAGCATTAGCAGAAAAAAGTCCAGGAAACCTCCACCAGAGAGTCCTTCTCCACCATGACAATGCTCCTGCTCATTCATCTCATCAAACAAAGAAAATTTTTCAAGAGTTTCTGTGGGAGATCATTATGCATCCACCTTACAGTTCTGATTTGGCTCCTTCTCATTTCTTTCTGTTTCCTAATCTTAAAATACCTTTAAAGGGCATCCATTTTTCTTCAGTTAATAATGTGAAAAAGACTGTATTGACATGGATACATTCCCAGGACCCTCAGTTTTTTAGGGAGGAATTAAATGGCTGATAAAATCACTTACAAAACTGTCTTAACCTTGATGGAGCTTATGTTCAGAAGTAAAGTTTATATTTTTAGTTGTTACGGTTTATAATTACATTTTCCATGAACTTTTTGAAGTCCCCTCATATGTGCATCAAAATATATGTTTGATGATGTTATGTTACAGTATTATTTGAAATAGCAAAAAGCTGGAAACAACATACATTTCCACTGACAGGATTTCTGTTATTCCTTCTGTATTATATCCTATGCCTCACTAGCTTATATGGTTCAGCTCTGTGTCCCCACCCAAATATCTCATGTCAAATTATAATCCCCACATGTTGGGACCTGGTGGGAGGTGATTGGATCATGGGGACCACTTCCCCAGTGCTGTTCTTGTGATAGTGAGTTCTCATAAGATCTGATGGTTTAAAAATATGTGGCAGCTCCCCACCTCCACTCTCTCTTACTTGCTGCCATGTAAGACATGCCTTGCTTCCCCTTCACCTTCCACCATGATCATAAGTTTCTGGAGGCTTCCCCAGCCACATGGGGAGCTACACCTCTTTTCTGTATCAATTATCCAGTCTCAGGTAGTTCTTTATAGCAGTATGAAAAAGGACTAATACAGAAAATTGGTACCACGGGAGTGGCACTCCCATAAAGAGATCTGAAAATGTGGAAGCAGCTTTGGAACCAAGTAATGGGCAGAGAATGGAACAGTTTGGGAGGACTCAGATGAAGACAGGAAGATGTGGGAAAGTTTGGAACTTCCTAGAGACTTGTTGAATGGTTTTGATGAAAATGCTGATATCGACAATGAAATCCAAACTGAGATGGTCTCAGATGGAGATGAGGAAATTATTGGGAACCAGAGTGAAGGTCACTCTTGCTATGCTTTACCAAAGAGACTGACAGCATTTTGCCCCTGCCCTAGAGATCTGGGGAACTTTTAACTTGAGAGGGATGATTTAGAGTATCTGGTGGAAGATATTTCTAAGCAGCAAAGTATTCAAGATGTAGCCTGGCTGCTCTTAACAGCATACAGTTATATGCATTCACAAGGAACTTATATTTAAAAGGAAAGTAAAGCATAAAAATTTGGAAAATTTGCAGCCTGACCATGCAGTAGATAAGAATAAACCCATTTTCTGGGGGAGAAATTCAAGCCATGGTTGCCGAAATTCACATAAAGAGGGGCTAAATGTTAATTGCCAAAACAATGGAGAAAATGTCTCCATGGCATTTCAGAGATCTTTGTGGCAGCCCCTTCCATCACAGGCCCAGAGGCCTATGAGGGAAAAATGGTTTCATGGGCCAGGCCCAGGGCCCAGCTGCTCTGTGTAGCCTCAGGTCATGGTACCCTGCATCCCAGCTGCTCCAGCTACAGCCATAACTAAAAGCGGCCAAGGTATAGCTCAAGCCATTGCTTCAGATGTGCAAGCCCCAAGCCTTGGTGGCTTCCACATGTGTTGGGCTTGTAGGTGCACAGGAGGCAAGAGTTTGGGAACCTCTGCCTAGATTTCAGAGGATGTATGGAAACACCTGGATGTCCAGGAAGAAGTCTGTTGAGGGGTGGAGCCCTCATGGAGAACCTCTACGAGGGTAGTGCAGAGGTGAACTGTGGGGTTGGAGCCTGCACACTGAGTCCCCACTGGGGCACTGCCTAGTAGAGCTGTGAGAAGACAGCCACTATCCTCCAAACCCCAGAATGGTAGATCCACCAATAGCTTGCAGCATGCATCTGTAAAAGTCACAGGCACTCAACGCCAGCCTGTGAAACTAGCCACAGGGGCTGTATCCTGCAAAGCCATAGGGGTGGAGCTGCCCAAGGCCTTGGGAGCTTACCCCTTGCATCAGTGTGGCCTGGGTGTGAGACATGGAGTCAAAGGAGATTATTTCAGAGCTTTAAGATTTAATGATTGCTCTGCTGGGTTTTGGATTTGCATGGAGCCTGTAGCACCTGTTTTTTGACTGATTTCTCCCTTTGGAATGGGAGTGTTTACCTAAAGCCTGTACTCCCATTGTGCCTTGGAAGTAAGTAACTTATTTTTGATTTTGGAGGCTCACAGGTGGAAGGGACTTCCCTTGTCTCAGATGAGACCTTGGAATTGGACTTTTGAGTTAATGCTGAAATAAGTTAAGACTTTGGGGGTTGTTGGGAAGGCATGATTGGTTTTGAAATGTGAGAAGGACATGAGATTTGGGAGAGGCTGAGGTGGAATGATATGATTTGGCTCTGTGTCCTCACCCAAATCTCATGTTGAATCCTCACATGTCAAGGTAGGGACCTGGTATGAGGTGATTGGATCATGGGGACAATTTGCCCCATGCTGTTCTCATGATAGTGAGTTCTCAAGAGATCTGATGGTTTAAAAGTGTGTGGCACTTTCCCCCTCACTCTCTCTTGCTGCCATGTAAGACATGCCTTGCTTCCCCTTCGCCCTCCACCATGATTGTAAGTTTCCTGAGGCCTCCCCAGCCATGTGGAACTGTCGAGTCAATTAAACCTCTTTTCTTTATAAATTATCTAGCCTCAAGCTGGGTGCAGTGGCTCACACCTGTAATCCTGGCACTTTGGGAGGCCAAGGAGGGCAGATTGCTTGAGCTCAGGAGTTCGAGATCAGCTTGGGCAACACTGGACAACATAGTGAGACCTGTCTCTAAAAAATAAATAAATAAATAACCCAGTCTCAGGTAGTACTTTATAGTGGTGTTAAAACAGACTAATACACTACTCTAGGTACTCAATCGTCTTTAACTTATAATTCTGCTCTACAGGCTTCTTGATCTCTTCCTCACAGCCCTAGCTATCAGCTTGGTGCCAATATGCCAGTGTATTGGCATGAGTGTTTGTCCACGATCAGAAATCTGTATGATGATGGCTCTGGGCAGATCTTTCAGGGGCTCACAAAGAAAACAGATCTGGTACCAGAGAAGAAAACCTCAGCTTAATTAGGTAAGAGATTAAGTTCAGAGAGTTTGGCCTAGACATGATCTCCTTACAGGTTGGGACTATGTCTTATCCATCTTTGTGTGTAAAGGGCCCCAGCAAGGAGTCTTGTTTATAGTGAGTACTTAGCGAAGCTTGAAGGAAGGAAAAGGAAGGGAGGGATCAGAGAAGGAGGAAATAGCTCAGCAGGAGGTAGAGCAGAAGCAGGAAGAGACAGGCTAGTGCAGAGTGACACTGGCATTCCACTTTGATCCTAAAGGGAGAGGGTCCTTTCACAGTCCTGTTCAAGTGTCCACTGGGCCAGTCATGAAGATTATGTGCAAAAGAAAGTCAGAGGCCTGAAGGTAAACCTTGCCCACACTGCTTCCAAGGCCTGTAGGTAAATAATAACTGGTTTCAGAACTGATGAACTGATTCAGGGCAGAGCCTCTAGGATTACCAGGAAGAACCACTGCTTTCTTTCTACCAGCGAGTAGCCTTATCCTTCTTTAGACCAGAAAGACATGAGTCAGCATAAAATTTTAGAGGTGATGGGCCCAAACTTTTTTGTTTTTAACAACAGAATCCTTCTCTCAAATGAATTAATATGAGAAATGCAGTACATAAAACAGGTATAGTGGAGCTGGTTGAAGTGGCGAGCAGCAGCCCCTCTCTGCAGAGTTCCTGGGCTCCCGCTCCTTGTCCTTTCTACCCCTACAGTGGCCTGAGAGAAACCTCTGTGCAAGCCCTTGGGTGTTCCACACTTTGCTTGGAAACCACAGGTACAGTCCCGTCTTCACCATGTGTGATAAAGAACTCACAGCCCAGCCAAAGTGGCTTATGCTCTCAATGCTCATTAGTGGTAGAATCCAAACAAAAAGTGTCTCCTAATTTTCTTTTTTTTTTTGAGACGGAGTTTCACTCATGTTACCCAGGCTGGAGTGCAATGGCGCGATCTCGGCTCACCGCAACCTCCGCCTCCTGGGTTCAGGCAATTCTCCTGCCTCAGCCTCCTGAGTAGCTGGGATTACAGGCACGCGCCACCACGCCCAGCTGATTTTTTGTAATTTTAGTAGAGACGAGGTTTCACCATGTTGACCAGGATGGTCTCGATCTCTTGACCTTGTGATCCACCCGCCTCGGCCTCCCAAAGTGCTGGGATTACAGGCTTGAGCCACCATGCCCGGCCCCCTAATTTTCAATCTGGTTTATTGAAGGGTTAGAGTTCAAACTTGAGGGCATATAAAATCATTTGGGGAGCTTGTTAAAACTGAAGATTTTGATTTAGTAGGGCTGGGGTGAGGCCTAAGAGCCTGCAAGTATAACAAGCCCTCAGATGTTGCTGAAGTGAGGCCACACGCTGAATAGCCGGAGCTCATAAGCAGGCAGCAGGCAGCAGGAGATGGGTTTTTCTTGTTTTACAGGAAAAGTACAGTTAAGGACTTGTCTTAGTATGGCACTTCCAGGTACTAAGGGTTTATGATAAGGTGGGTAGGGTATTATTTGCTCTCGGCACCTTCCTGTCCCAGATTCAAAACTCTGTGGTCAGCTGGCCAACTTGCACTGCAGAAAGCACTTGGTTTCTACTATGACAACACGCATTTTATGGAAAAGCACACTGAGGATCAGAGGTTATGCTGGCTTGTAGCCATCACAAAGCTAGCAAATGGCAGAACTCATAATTTGAACTCAAGTCTTTGGACCCCAACGTGTAGTTCTTTCCCATTGCAGGCTTCTCCTTATTATGGGGCATTTAGACGATCTTTTTGGACTGTACTCACGACAGGCTGGAAGTGTCCATGATTGAACCTGACACTCTTCCTTTTAGTCTCTAACTAAACATAAACTGAAACCTGGGCGTAAGGATGGTTGAATGGCTTCTCCTCTCTGATCTCCTCCAAGGTCTCCAGACTTCTCACTTGGTAACCATTGGGCTGTCCAAATCATCTGACACTGAAGTCCTTCAAGGGACAATCAGTTGACAGTACAGCTCTTTGCAGGTTGCCTTCCTTGTGCTCACTAGCTCATTGACTAAGCATTTACTTGTGGTGTCAAACTCTTTCAACTATTTCTCACAGCCAAAATAAAAGCAAACATGAGCTCATATTTTAAAAAATTAAATGGTTCTATTTTCTCCCCCAATGCCCTTGGTTTTAACTGCAGGCAGAAGGCAGGGTGCAGTCACTAGGCAGACTCTGTCCCTAATTAGTACAACCTAAGAAAAGGGGTGTTGGGAATTCCCCTACCCCAAGGATTGCGTCAGGTGGAATCTGAAAACACTTTTTCAGAACTTGAGCATTCGATGGTTGGGGAAGTAGGTAAAAGCAAAATTGGAAGTAGTTCATGTAGTTACTCATTAGCAGTTTAGGTATGTATTAGTCCAGCCATGGTAGAATGACTGTCATTCTGATAGCATCATAATGCATTCTTGGTTTGTGTTACCTCATTACCTCTATTCTTAGGGCATGTAGCTCACATCTTACTATTAGGTCTACACTCTAGGTTTAGGGACATTCCTTTCCTTTACATTAACTTAGCTAGGAGACAGCCAACCTCTGTTACTTGGGAGGAATGAGGCTCTACAGAATTTGGTGAGGAAAAATGAGAGGAAGAGAATTCCAAGATTAAACGAATATAAGGCAAATATGTAGTAAAAAGGGGGAAAGGCAATCTTTTTTAAAACTATCCCAAAACACATTTTTTGAGCACCTATCATTTGGTAGATGATTCCACATGTCATACATGTTATCTTATTTAAACTTCACAAAACTCCCATGCTAGGGTACAATAAGGGGAACCATATGATTAGATATAGGTAATTATCAAAGCCCCTGCTTTTGTTTCCATGACAAGTGATGTGGTTTGAGTCTATGTCCCCCCCAAAGCTCATGTCGGATCGTAATCCCTGCTGTTGGAGGCGGGTCCTGGGGGAGGTGATTGGATCATGGGGGCAGTTTCTCATGAATGGTTTAGCATCATCCCCTGATACTGTTCTCATGATAGGGAGTGAGTTCTCACGAGATTTGATTATTTAAAGGAGTGTAGCACCTCCGCCTTTGCTCTCTCTTCCTCCTACTCCAGTCATGTGATGTGCTGGCTCCCCACTCATCTTTCGCCACGATTGTAAGTTTCCTGAGCCCTCCCCAGAAGCTGTCATGCTTCCTGTGTAGCCTGGAGAACCATGAGCCAATTAAACCTTTTTTCTTTATAAATTACCCAGTCTCAGGTATTTCTTTATGGCAATGCAAGAAGGGACTGATACAATGAGTTTGCAGGTATTTTCCACATTATTTAAAAGAACTAACTAAATGTGTATACAAAAGTAGGCCACGTGCGGACTATTGTGTTATAAATCAAGAATTATAACTAACCCAATTCTATGTCCTAGAGGTCATAAAAATGAAAAGAAACCTCAAGTGCTGTAATTATACCATTTTATCCATGAGAACACTAGGGTTGAAAGAGGTCAAGTCACACAGCTTAAAAGGCAGGTCCAGGATTTGAATCCAGGTCTGTTTGGCCCCCCGTTTATTTTTTCCAGGCTAAGACAATCAAATTTATGCCACGGACGTAAGAGCTAGATTCCTAAAGTCTGTGATGCTCTCTCACCTGCCTACCCTGTTTTATCTAGAGATGAATATCTCTACACTCATGTGATGAGCTGCAGAAGAGGCCACATCTGCCAACCTGTGAGAATGGATTTGTAGGGGCTGTCTCCCCATTTATCCCAACATTGCGTTTGTATGGGTGTCTCACCGTTTGGTCTGCATCCCAGATTTGTGAGGCACTCCCTTCCTTTTCATGAGTTTCTCCATGGCATTGGGGTGGATTATTGGACGAACAGGATGTCGTTTGTAGGTCCCCGGATACTTCTTTTCCACTGCTTGCTCACGCCTGCAGAATAAAGGCAAAAGCCACCTCTCAGTCATTGCAGACGGAAGAATGAGGCAGAATGTTTTCACAGGCTAATTCTACCCACAGATTCTGGCCACATTTAGCAGATACAGGCTATTTGAATGACAAGGCTGCAGGTTTAAAAAACAAACAAGTACTAAATTCAAATTAACCTGACTTCATTCTGCTCTTCAGCTCACCTTCTCAGACACTAACAATGACAGAAGCGCTGCTCATTTTCAGTAGCTGCTCATTTGGTCAGGATTCCCAGGGTTTTCTTGTCAGCATCAGGAGTCCCTTACACCGCTTCCAGCACCCAACACATTTCCCCAGCGGGCAATCAGCTTCCCCTTCTTCACACCATGCTGTTCTTGAAATGAGGATCCCCTTCCCTATCCAGCAAATGCCTGCCAAGTGCATGTTCCCCTATAACTTGCTCTGTGGCAACTCCACTCACTTGTATACTTCATCAGGGGCAGGGACCTGTGCGTCACACATCCCTGAAGGAATGTTGGGTGAATGAATAAAATATCTGCCAGCTCTGATTAGCAGCAACAAGGAAGAGTAGTACGTCTCTGCTGACTGACGGGCTCACATCGGTAAGAAGAGATACTGGTCTGGATACATACTTAATAAGCTCCTTCTCCCGCATTTCCAGCTGCAGCATGATGGCACTCAATTCCATGTATAAATTATTCGCCCGCTCAAGCTTTCGCTCGTAGTGTTCACGAATATCCAGCGCATGCCTATCGAAGAAAACACAGGGTCAGCCAGGCCAGCCAACTTCAGGAGAACAAAAGTCAGCTTGATGACATAAGAAACAGGATGACTGATCACAAAAGCACTTGCCCAGGCTCTCTATTGTTAAGGTTCCCTTGTCCAGTGCAGTAACTCAGAAAATGGAATGGGAGATGGGGAATCTGAGCTCTCCACTTGGTTTATCCGAAAGGGCCCATCTAGCCATATAGAATAGCCAAGAAGGCCGCAGATAAAAATCTGTCTATAACTTGTCACCTTCAACTGTGCAGGGTTGGCATTATCTTAATAAGAATACAGCAGAATATACTCACATGTTAATGAAAATATGCAGTTAAAGCCAACACCATGATCACTCATTTATACTTAGCCATGGCCCAGATCCTGTGTGATAGAGTAGTTGCTATGGTCTGAATATTTGTGTCCCCCCAAATTTATATGTTGAAACCTAACACCCAAGGTGATAATGTTAAGAGGTGGGGTCAGCTGGGTATGGTGGCTCATGCCTGTAATCCCAGCACTTTGGGAGGCCGAGGCAGGCAGATCACGAGGTCAGGAGTTAGAGACCAGCCTGACCAACATGGTGAAACCTTGTCTCTACTAAAAATACAAAACCTAGCCGGGCATGGTGGTGTGTGCCTGTAGTCCTAGTTACTTGGGAGGCTGAGGTAGAAGAATCACTTGAACCCAGGAGGCAGAGGTTGCAGTGAGCCGAGATTGCGCCACTGCACTCCAGCCTGGGCGACAGAGTGAGATTCTATTTCAAAAAAAAAAGAGGTGGAGTCCTTGGGAGGTGATTAGATCATGAGAGTTCTGCCCTTGTCAGTGGGATTAGTCCACTTATAAAAGAGACTTGAGGGAGCCCTTTTGCCCTCTGTGGTGTGAGGACACATAGAAGGTGCCATCTATGAGAAACAGGCCCTCACCAGACACTGAATCTGCTGGCACCTTGACTGTGGACTTCCCAGCTCCAGAACTGTGACCAATACATTTCTGTTGTTTATAATTTATCCAGTCTAAGGTTTGTTACAGCAGCTGGAACTGATTCAGATGTGATTGTATTAGTCTGCTCTCACACTGCTATGAAGAAATAGCTGAGACCGGGCAAGAGGTTTAATTGACTCACAGTTCTGCATTGCTGGGGAGGTCTTAGGAAATTTAGAATCATGACAGAAGGCAAAGGAGAACCTTCTTCACAGGGGGAGTGAGTGAAAGCAGGGGAAATGCCAGACGCTTATAAAACCGTCAGATCTCCTGAGAACTCACACATTATCACAAAAACAGCTTGGGGGAAACTGCCCCATGATTCAATTACTCCACCTGGTTCTGTCGTTGACACATGGGGATTATGGGGATGACGATTTGAGGTGAGATTTGAATGGAGACACAGAGCCAAATTATATCAGTGATTATCCATGACCATGCCTCATCTCTCTCTCTCTTTTTGAGACAGAATCTCACCTGTCATCCAGGCTGGAGTACAGTGGCACAATCTTGGCTCACTGCAGCCTCCAGCTCCTGGGTTCAAGTGATTCACATTACTCAGTCTCCTGCATAGCTGGGATCACAGGTGTGTGCCACCAGGCCCAGCTACTTTTTTGTACTTTCAGTAGAGATGCAGTTTTGTCGTGTTGGGCAGGCTGGTCTTGAACTCCTGGGCTCAAGTGATCCACCTGCCTTGGCCTCCCAAAGTGCTGGGATTACAGGTGTGAGCCACTGCACCTGGCCTTTTATCTCTTAATACATTATAAGTATCTTGAAGCCAGGGACTAAATCTTATAAATTTCTGGAATTCCATGGCACCTAGGACAGTGGCTGAATGACTAAATAGCATTGTTTCAGGAATCCTTGTTGCAGAGACATAATACAAGAGGATAACAGAGTTGGCAGGAAAGGACAGGAAAGAGATAGAAAGGAGGGCTAACTTTGGGGCAACTTTTAAACAGCGTAACAGAAAAAGCAGAGGTGAAAGGTGGTAGAAAAATGGGGGTTATAAAGAGGGTGCCCGTTAGCGTCTGCAGACCTGGGGGTCAGAGGAGGTGGAGAAGGAGGGATGAGCTGACCTGAGCTCTTCTCTGCGCCTTCGAATCAATTCTTCATCTAACCGGTGTATACAAGTTCCTTCACTTTTGATCTTCTCAAAGTGTTTTTTCACTTCTTCTCTCCATTCAGCCTGGACAAGGACAAATTAGATTTTGATAAATTCCAGGAGTTTCAATCCCTGATATATCCATAAAGGTATGAACAAGATTGTCTTTTCCTGCATGCTTCTACTGAAGAGTCTTTTTCAGAATAGATGTTCAATAAATATTATTTGATAGTGAAATATCTCTTGCTACTAAATCGCCATGCCCTAGCCCATTTCTAGACTTTTACTCCAATATATGATGTTGTCTTTTTCCGAGTTTTCCTCCAGCACTGACCATGAGAAACATCACAGCCGGCATACCGGCCATTGCTTCTGGAATAAAAGAGTTTAATTTAAGGCAAGATGGTGGCTGAGATAGCCTGGCCAGAAAAAAAACAGCCCTGATAAGCATATGGAAATGTTTTTGTGTGTGTGAGATTATGAACGTCTTTATGACTGGCACCAGAATTCCTTCTAGCCTTTGTTTGGGAAAGTATCTTGAGAAAATATCTAGAGTAGAAGACCCTACAGGCATGAACAGCAGGAAATGAGAAGAAATATAAGAAATTATACAGGAATTTGGAGTTGAGGGAAAGAACAGAAACGAGAGAAGGAGGAGGAGAAAATAGAGAGTATGGCCAAGCGATTTAGTCGTTTGATGAAATTTTTAGACCAGGGATGGATGTTTAATATATGGTTTAAGTTGTTCAAAATGTAAACTTTTTCGAATTTTCTAAACCTTCAGTAAAGTCTCTGACATTCACCTAAGCTTTGAAGGGGGCTTTAAAATTATTTATTTATTTATTATTATTATTATTTTTGAGACAGAGTCTCTCTCTCTGTCGCCCAGGCTGGAGTGCAGTGGCGTGATCTTGGCTCACTGCAGCCTCGGTCTCCCAGGTGCAAGCAATTCTCCTGGCTCAGCCTCTTGAGTAGCTGGGATTACAGGTGCCTGCCACCACGCCCGGCTAATTTTTGTATTTTTAATAGAGGCAGGATTTCACCATGTTGGCCAGGCTGGTCTCAAACCCCTGACCTCTAATGATCCGCCCACTTTGGCCTCCCAAAGTGCTGAGATGACAGGTATGAGCCACCACGCACAGCCGGCCCTATTTTGTTTTTTAAAGAAAGGTGCTGAATTGAATGTTTGGTCAATTATGGGACAAAGATAAAGGAGCAACAACAAGGCAGCGGGGTGGGGACCAAGAATTTAAGGAGGGCAGGGCCAGAGCGGCCATGAAGCTATCACTCTCCCAGGAATTTACGGAAGTATTAGAAAGGACATTGAGCTTTCCACAGGGCATGAAGTTTCAAGCTAATTTTACCCAAATGTTAGGGGGTAGAAAAACCTCTACTGGAATATGGCCTACAAGCAGTAGGCCATAGAGAGGAACAGCAAAGCTAAGTTCCCTCATACTATGTATCGACTATCTTCCATCTCCAAAAGTAATGAGATATAATTTCCAGTGAAGGCTCGATCTGTAACTCAATGTATCTAATTGTATAATCTTCTACTAAAATTATCCTATGACCTTTAGATTCATGTTAAACAGTGTCTCTCTGGATTATAAGGTAGTTCCCTTTTTAATTTGGTGAGGAGTCTCCCTCTTGTTTTCCGTATTAGCTGCACCATTTTGCATTCTCACCAACAGTGTACAAGGGTTCCCATTTCTTTCCATCCTTGCCTATATATTTTTTTAATTTAAAAAAATTTTAAAAAATAATAGCAATCCCTATTGCTTTTGTGGGTGTGGTGACTCATGCCTATAATCCCAGCACTTTGGGAGGCTTAGGTGAGAGGACTGGTTGAGCCCAGGAGTTCAAGGCCAGCTTGGCCAACATGGTGAAACCCCGTCCCTACTAAAAATGCAAAAATTAGCTGGGTGTGGTGGTGCGCACCTGTAATTCCAGCTAGTCAGGAGGCTGAGGCAGGAGAATCACTTGAACCCGGGAGTGGGAGGTTGCAATGAGCTGAGATCTCGCCATTACACTCTAGTCTGGGAAACAAGAGCGAAACTCCATCTCAAAAAAATAAAATAAAATAAAATAAAATAAAAGACAATAGCTTTAAGTGTTTTTACCACAATAATTTTTTTAAAAAGTGTATCTTTCTGGATCAAGTAAGAAGTTATTCTTAAGTAATTGTGGATTTATAGAAGGTTTTCCCCAAATTAGCTGTTTCTCATCTATTTTTATGGAGAAAATTATATTTTAATTATGCAAAAATGGTCATTCTATAATATGCTAGATTTCCCATATATATGTTGAACACTGGAGAGAAGTTTCTGTTGGTTGGTTGATCTTTAGGCACCAAATCTATCCAACAATGTCATTAGAAAGCCAAGATCCAGAATACACTACTGCAGTCTATGGCCATACCACCCCGAACACCCCAGTCTCACCAGAATGCACTACTCCATTGTTTGATAATGGCCTTTGACAGCATCCAAGCTGTAAATGAAGGTTTGGTTGAGCCCCTGGTAATGCTATTCTCTCAATCATCAGATCAGAGTCAGGAAGCAGGAGGAGTATTTGAGCTTTAGGAGGCGAAGAATGACAAGCGAAAGTAGTTAGACCAAAAATGAATAAGAGGGTCAGATTTGTGCCCTGAAGTATCCGCTTTTTGTCATGTCTCTGTATCCTACTAAAATACTTAAAGAAGGGATGGGAAAAGGAATACCTCCCTCTGGTGGTAAGGAATTTTATATCACAGATAAGGTTTGTTTTAATTCTAGAGGAAATAAATCTCCTGACATCTAGCTTACGATTATGGGAAAGTCAAGGAGAACTTTGTGAAGATTGATATCTGTAAGAAAGCAGATTTCCAAAAAGAAGTTCCCTCCTGTTAAGAGAAAAAAGGATATACAGGCGAACACCAGGTACTGATGAATAATGCATTTCCTCCGAAGGTATCCTATTCCTGGCACATGTTAATTTTAAGTTCCATTTTATATACTTAGAATCTTATGTAAAAGGAGTTCCAATTTGAGTGTAATCTGCAATTCAGACCTGTCTGGGCACATATGAAGAAAGGAAGGATTGGCAAGCCTGAAGCCAATTTGCACAGCTATTGAGGAGTCTGTGAGAGAGAACACCAAGGGTGGGAGGAGTCCTGCATGAGCTTGACCTGTAACAAAGCCCCCTTCCTGGGAGTGGAGGGGCATTTCCCCTCCATTGTGTTTCATTACAATGCCTGAGAAGCATGGGGACATAACCAGTATTGCTCTCTTACTGTCCACAGAGTGTAACTCAGCAGGGAAAGGAAGAGTTCATGGCACAAACAGGAGAGCTTACAGCTTTGGAATCTTGAGAACTCCAGAGGAGATGGCAGCTCCCAGTGGGTGATGGCAGTGCCTTAAGGATGTGGCAGCATCCAATGGACGCCAACCCAGGACTGTAGTCTTTTAGCAGAAAACAGCGATGGCTAGCCAATAAATCAATACCCAGCAGATGCTTGGTGGGAGACTGCTGTGTCTAGCTAGCATCAGTGGAAAGCAGAACAAATGTTAATTTGAGGTAGTTTGAGATCCTCACTCCTCACTGGGGATTCCCCAGAAATGCACGTGGCTGGGGTTGGGGTAGGAATAGAGCAGTGCTTAAGAAGGCACTCAAGTCCCGTGTAAGCAGGTGATGTGGCTTGGACCTGTGTCCCCCCCCAATCTCATGCTGAACTGTAATCCCCAGTGTTGGAGGAGGGGCCTGCTGGGATGTGGCTAGATCATGGGGGCAGATTTCCCTCTTGCTGCTCTCATGACAGTGAGTTTTCATGAGATCTGGTTGTCTGAAAGCGTGTGGTGCCTCTGCCTTCACTCTCTTCCCCTTCTCCGGCTGTAAGATGTGCCTGCTTCGCCCTTGCCTTCTGCCATGATTGAAAGTTTCCTGAGGCCTCCCTAGTCATGCTTCCTGTACAGCCTGTGGAGCTGTGAGCCAATTAAACCTCTTTTCTTATAAATTACCCAGTTTCAGGTATTTCTTTATAGCTGTGGGAGAACAGACTATTCTAGCAGGTAAGGGAAAAAATCCAGTGAAACTTGGATTATTACCATTAGTGATAACCTCTTTATGTCCCAAATAAGGCCTGTGAAAGTCCATAGCATTTAGAAGGTTTTATCTTTTCCATCCTTTCAGTTATTCACTCCATAGACCGAAGTTCTTGCACCCAAACTTTGCTTCTTTATCTCCCATAATACAGTAGTCTCCCCTTGTATGAGGCTTTGCTTTCTGCAATTTCACTTGTGTGCGGTCAGCCCTGGCCTGAAAATATTACATAAAAATTTTCTAGAAATAAATAATTCATAAAATTTAGATTGGCCATCATTCCAAGTAGTGTGATGAAATCTCTCGTTGTTGTCTCTGTCTCATATGGGACATGAATCATCCCTTCATCCAGTGTCTCCATGTTGTAGACACTCCCCTTCCACTGGTCACATAGTAGCTGTCTTGGTTATAAGACTCACTGTTGGAGCATTGCAGCCCTTGCGTTCAAGTAATTCTTATTTTACTTAATAATGGCTGCAAAACACAGGAGCAGTGATGCTAACAATTCGGATATGCCAAAGAAAAGCCAGACAATGCTTTCTTTAGGTGAAAGGGTAAAAGTTCTTGACTTAATGAGGAAAGAAAAAAAATCATAGGCAGAGGTTGCTAAGATCTACACAAGAATGAATCTTGTGAACAAATTTGTGTTACTGTCACTGTGTGCCTCAAACTACAAAAATTATGGCAACAGTACTGATAAGAGCTTAACCAGTTAATAGGGTTGCTCCAAAAAATGAAATAAACAGTAAAGAAAGAGCTTAGTTAAGATGGAAGAGACATTACATTTGTGGGTGGAAGATATGAAAAGAAATATGTTCTGATTGACAGCAGTCAGGCTTGGTACTATTCAAAGTTTTAGGCATCCACTGGGGGTCATGAAATGTACCATGGATAAGCAGGGACTACTGAAGAGGTGTCAAAATGAAGTTGAAAGATGAATGAATAGACAAAATGTGGTGTGTATGTGTGTGTGTGTGTGTGTGTGTGTGTGTGTGTGTGTGTATATA